AATAATTTTTATCATTGCAGTAAGGTCTGTATAGATTTTTTTTTTTTTAATAAGATGACACAAAATTGAATTTAAAAAAAAAAAAGTTTTTTTTTTTTTAACTTGTGGTAAGTCATTCATTCAATTTTGTATCAACATATTATATCCCGCAATTGCCAAAATTTCAAATGATTAATAAATATATACTATATGAAACACATTGCCAAAGAATCATTGTTTAAAAAATTTAAGATAGATGGCAATAGAAATTCCAAGGGAGTGTTCTGGATTGAATTTATATAATAAGGTACTACAGTAGTCTCTTTAAAAACACCTTGTGTAATCTTTGTACAAGGGGATAAGAAACAATGTGTCAAACAATGCCAAAGTGTCCTCTAGCACAAGTATCCTCTCTCATGGAGGTTCTTTAAGTATTTGGACTATAAGTATGGAATCACAAGATAACAATACCAAAATGATATATACTTGATGTTTAGGTAACAGTATAATTTACCGTATTTTATGCTTTAATTATAATTTACAGTATAATTATAGTATAATTGAACTCTTGGAATTCATGTAATCTTTACACAAGGGGATAAGAAACAACAATTTACCTTTTTCTATGAAAAATAGACACTTCAGCCAGTTAGAGTTTTTTATTTTCTCAACGTTTCGACAAGAATCTTTTTGTCTTTGTCAGGAGAAGTAAATAAAAATAAAGCATTTGGCAAGGCGTTAAAATTTTTTATTTACTTCTCCTGACGAAGACAAAAAATTTTTGTTGAAACGTTGAGAAAATAAAAAACTCTAACTGGCCGAAGTGTCTATTTTTTATATAAATATGAATGCCGGCCAGGCAACCTCTATCTTTACGATAACAATTTACCTGTTGCAGAAGCCTTGTCTGAAAAACCAGAGTATCTTCAGAAACTTCGAACTCGCACGGCTTCTGTTACGACAGAAACTCCTACTCCCCCAGGTAAGATTACATTCAGAGAGTAAAGCCCCATCTGATTGGCTAACTTTCACTGTTATTAACATTAATATCCCCTAATTGTGTAACTAAAAGTTGCTGATGGCTTGCAACATCTATCGGAATAAATGAAAACTAATAGTTGATCAAGAATGAGACATCTGATTGTGCAAGCCATAATTGTGAGCTAGTATTTGTTTGTCTCTTCAGTAGGTGTTATTTACCAGAGTAGAGTGGTGTTAACAAAGTTCTCACAATTTACAATTATTTTATTTCCAAAGCGCTATATCCCGCAAAGGATACTCGCTCCAAACAAGGAGAAAAGTTTATTTACATAAGTTATTCACATTATTCAACACATGAAAACATTAGAGATCCAGATTTTGTAGAAAGTTTAGAATGTATTTACAAAATGAATTGAACTTTAAATATGATTTTTTATCAGAAATCTAATCGTTAAGTTCACAAACAACTAGTTCATTCTTCATTCTATAATCTTGAAATGCTGGGCAATCGATCAGTAGATGTCTTGAGGTTTGTTCCTCAATACCACAAAAGCAACTTGAATCCTCCACTGCCTTTATTCTATTTAAATTCACATTGATGCGGCATCCACAGCTACACAGAGAGGAAGGCCTCCTAAACATGGAACTGAGATTTCCTCACCCCAGCTGCCCGCTGACAAGTCCACAGTTGCTGATCCAAAAACAGAACAAGCTTCAATTGGTAATTTTTTTTTTTTTTATGATTTATTTATGTTGTAATTTGAAATAAAGAACTCTGCCTAAACCATAAATATGCAAATTTTCATGTTTTCAATTTTATAATCTAATCTCTTTAGTTTCTTTATAAAAAATGAAACCATGAATTTTTCTTTTTTCAAATACAATTAACCTCATACTGTCTTCACTGCGATGAAAACAAAAATATTGAGAGGGCCTGGCTGAGAGGGAACCCTCTCAGTGGTTTCACCAATTTAATCCACCAGATTTTCTTTTAGAGTTAATTACTGTATTAGATAATTTATAAATTGGACACTGTATATATTTAAAAGAAAAGTAGCATCATAAAATATGTTTATAATTCTCACAATAAAAGATATTGATGTGATTGTTGCAGAGCCTGTGAAAGGAAAAGGAGGCCGTAAAAGGCTTGCCCAAACCTCCCCTGTAAAACCAGACCCTCCCAACACAGTTGAAAACAGTGTGGGACCAACCAAGCTAGCGAAAAGTAGTAATTTTTTTAAAATATATGTATATTTACAGTTAAACCTGTCTATAGCGCCCCCTCTTGGGACTCACCAAAATTGGGTGCTATAGAGAGAGGGTGCTATAGACAGGTTACTTTTAGTGATAAGGCACAATTTGGATTATGGATTATAAACACAAGGTAATAAGATCAAATTCAAATAAATAAATAGTGTGTGATTTATTTAGATTTGGTCTTATCACCCTGTGTTTATAGGTCACTTTTAATGTAAATCGCATTGTACTACGTATTTAAAATTGGGCGCTATAGAGAGGAAGGCGCTATTTAGAGGGGATGCTATAAACAGGTTTAACTATTTCCATTTCTAAATAATTATTCAGTGTCCCCAAGGGGGGAATCAGATAATTATTATTACACTCATGGACAAAACAAGGAAGTTGTACCTTTCAGCATATATATCAGGATTCAGACAATAACTCTGAAATATATTACAGTGAGCTTTATCGAAGATACACTTCCAGGTACAATCTGTCTTCTTAAAAAAAAAAAATAGATGACTGTCAACATCAAAGACTTTCCACTTTTTCAAGTTTTGTCCATGAGTGTAATATATTCCTAATTGTGTACAGATATTATCTTATAGTTGTATTATTTTGAAAAAAAAATGTCTTTAGAGATAACAATACAAAGTTGTTTTTTTTTTCCTTATCCCTAGTACACGTGGTACAGGCCATGATAATCATGGTAGGTAGTTAGCGACTGCTTTTTACTGTAAGTGCACCACATGTCTACACATGTGAAAAGCAGTTTGACTTTTCACTTACAAATGTGCTAGGGCCACGTTTGGTTACTTGTACTCGCTGGTGGGGTTGGATGTGGTAATACATTACAAAGTGAATGTATTAAATTTAGTTGTATTGCAGCATTCAGAGGCCGGAAACGTAAAGGTTACCGAAGAGGTTTGTCCCGACCTTCCACTCTGTCCCAGAGATCCCTCACAGAAGATGAGCAGCCTACTCCTTCAAAAGGTAAAATTTCATGTCCTCCTCTCTTTTCTCTTTTTTTTTTTTTTCCATTCTCATTTATTTATTTCAGCACATAAAACGTGATATCCCGGCTAGGAATAATTGCGTCGATTTACTTTTTTTTTTTTAAACAAACAGTTATAAACAAATTATACAATAAAAAGTAATTAAAAATAAAAAAGAGAAACAATAATAAATATTAGGAACCTGAACCTTCATTCTCATTGGTAGTAAGATACAGTAGAACTTCCCTTTAGAGGACACCCCGCTAGCAGACACCTCTCCACAAAGGACAGTTTTCATTTGCAAAATTACCATTTTCACAATTTAGTAACTCTCTGGTAAGAGGACATCTCTACCTAAAGGACACTTTGGATCAGCAATTAAGTGTTGTCCTTCACAGAGAGGTAGTTCTACTGTAGCAACTCTCTGGTAAGAGGACACCTCTCTCTAAAGGAAACTTTGGCTCTGTAACTAGGTGTTGTCCTTTACAGAGAGGTAGTTCTACTGTAGCAACTCTCTGGTAAGAGGATACCTCTCTCTAAAGGACACTTTGGCTCTGTAACTAGGTGTTGTCCTTTACAGAGAGGTAGTTCTACTGTAGCAACTCTCTGGTAAGAGGACACCTCTCTCTAAAGGAAACTTTGGCTCTGTAACTAGGTGTTGTCCTTTACAGAGAGGTAGTTCTACTGTAGCAACTCTCTGGTAAGAGGACACCTCTCTCTAAAGGAAACTTTGGCTCTGTAACTAGTTGTTGTCCTTTACAGAGAGGTAGTTCTACTGTAGCAACTCTCTGGTAAGAGGACACCTCTCTCTAAAGGTCACTTTGGCTCAGCAATTAGGTGTTGTCCTTTACAGGGAGGTAGTTCTACTGTAGCAACTCTCTGGTAAGAGGACACCTCTCTCTAAAGAACACTTTGACTCTGTAACTAGGTGTTATCCTTTACACGGAGGTAGTTGTACTGTAGCAACTCTCTGGTAAGAGGACACCTCTCTCTAAAGGAAACTTTGGCTCTGAAATTAGGTGTTGTCCTTTACAGGGAGGTAGTTCTACTGTAACAACTCTCTGGTAAGAGGACACCTCTCTCTAAAGGAAACTTTGGCTCTGAAATTAGGTGTTGTCCTTTACAGAGAGGTTTTTCTACTGTAACAACTCTCTGGTAAGAGGACACCTCTCTCTAAAGGTCACTTTGGCTCAGCAATTAGGTGTTGTCCTTTACACGGAGGTAGTTCTACTGTATCTTTATTTTTGAAGATAATTTGTTGGTTGGAAGTTTGTTTGGAAAGATATATGACTACATCAACTAATTTTTTATTCAGTTTCCAAAAATTTCAGTGACTCAATGTCATTCTCCTCAGGGGAAATGATTCCTGACATAAGGAGAGTGATATCTGGTCACCTGCGCCCTCTAGTCTATAAAGAGGGAGCCAAAAGCTTCCCCATGTGCACTAGGTGCAAAACCGAAGAGGCCACATATACTAAATTGTATTGGAAAGGACAAGAGATCCCTGTACAGAGAACCAAGAAGAGTTCTTGAGCTTCTTTATGAGCACAACCTCCAAGATCTTGTCTAATTTAGACTAAAAGGATAAGTAAAAAAAAAAAAAATGAAAAAGAGAAGTGTGATAGAGAGTCGCTGAAACATCAGTAACTAAATGATAAGGCACAATTTGGATTATAGATTATAAACTGAATGTATTCAGTACTTTTGTCTGAAGATGGTAACAACGCTGTTACCGAAACGTCACACACTATTTATTTATTTGGATTTGGTTTTGTTACCTTGTGTTTATAATCAGAAACTAAATAAAATAATTGGTTGATGTAGCCATATCGGTCGGTGGAAGGCTGGTTAAACCGTTTGGTTTTCGACCACTAGGACCCGGGTTCGATTCCCGCATTGGACACTTTTTTCTGTTTAAAAAAAAAATGCTCCAATGGCCCCCCGATTCTTGCAAAAGTCCAACCCCCACCAGCGAGTGCAAGTAACCAAACGGGGCTCTGCCATTTGTAAGTGCAAAGTCGAACTGCTTTTCACATGTGTAGACATGTGGTGCGCTTACAGTAAAAGCAGTCACTAACTAACCACCATGATTATCATGGCCTGTACCACGTGTACTAGGGATAAGCAAAAATATATATATATATATATATATTTTTTTTCCAAAGATATCTTCAGAATTCTCATTGAACTAAGGGTTGTAATTTCACTGTACAGTAGAACTACCTCTCTGTAAAGGAAACCTAGTTGCAGGGTGAAATTGTCCTTTATAGAGAGGTATCCTCTTAAAAAGTCTCTACAATAAGTAAAAAATGGTCATTTTGGCAATGAAACTGGCCTTTGTATAGATGTGTCCTCTAGTGAGTGTCCTCTTATGGAGATTTTACTGTTAGTTTCTAATGTTTGTCTCAATTCCCCAGACTTGGGGATGTCTGAAGGAACAGTGTCCTCTGATGCCACCACACCTCCCGTTGTGGAACAGGCACCCTCTACCCTCCCCCCATCACCTAATGGTAACTCCAATGTTGGCTCTTCCATTCATTTTACTCTTTTATACTTATTATGAAAAAGGCATCTCTTTATCATGCAACTGAAAGTTTCTGATGGCTTGCGCCATCTATCGGAATAAATATCAACTATTCTCATTGATTTTTGATCATTCCAGAATTGGCCAAATACCCATTCTTGATTAATCAAGAAAAGCTAACCACTGATGCGTTTCGGGCTGTTGGCCCTCATCAGTGTGGTACAAGCTGTACCTTAACAACCAAAAAACTGGTCATTCAGGCATCCTGAAAAACATCAAGAAACGGCCAAGTTACGGCCAGAATTGCGTGAGATTGCGACACAATGTGAACAAATAGTACAAATGTGATATTGTGCTGGGATATTTTATACTTATGTATGTTGCTTTATACCTCAATCTCTTCTTCAAACCTCAAATTCCACTCAATTTAATATCAAGTTGAGGAGCAAAAAAACATTTTCCTGATTATGATATCTACACTGATAAAACTTAATCATTTTTTAATCCAATATATGCCTTTTTATAATTAAAGGAGAAATTGTTTTTAAAGCAGTTCTATCTTTGGAGTTTTTTTTTTTTTTTTGCTTATCCCTAGTACACGTGGTACAGGCCATGATAATCATGGTGGGTAGTCAGCGACTGCTTTTTACTGTAAGCGCACCACATGTCTACACATGTGAAAAGCAGTTCGAATTTGCACTTACAAATGCCAGAGCCCTGTTTGGTTACTTGCACTCGCTGGTGGGGTTGGACTTTTGCAAGAATCAGGGGCCATTGGAGCATTTTTTTTTTTTTTAAACAGAAAAAAGTGTCCAATGCGGGAATCGAACCCGGGTCCTAGTGGTCGAAAACCAAACAGTTTAACCAGCCTTCCACCGACCCCCCCATCTTTGGAGTTAAAAAGAAGAAAACACAAAAAAAGGTCAACTGTGTGTAAGAATATCAGTAGAATCTTTCTCTATTGGACAACACCTAGTGTCCAAAGTGTCTACAACGTAATAAGACCAAATAAATTAATAGTGTGTGACCTTTCGGTAAAAGCATTGTTACCATCATCACAAACAAAAGTACTATTTAAGTATAATAGTAAGTACTATTTAAGAACACATGTTGCGATAATTTTTCTCATTTATTCTTTTGTATGATGATGGTAACAATGCTATTACTGAAAGGTAATACACTATTAATTTATTTGGATTTGGTCTTTTTACCTTGTAGTTTTAATCTATAATCCAAATTGTACCTTATCATGTTCAAATTGTCCTTTAGTGGGGTCTAATTAATAGAAATAAGTTGGTGACGGAAACTGTCCTTTGCAGTGAGTGTCCTCTTATGGAGGTTCTTCTGTACTCATGATGGTGATGCTCATCTCCTTAAACCATGTCTAGAAATCCACTCTTCTTTAGCTTTGTAGTATTATTGTTATACCATCACGCATCTTGAGTAGATCCTGGGCTTCAGTGTCATCATGCTTCTCTTTCTTGTGATCTTTTTTTTTTTTTTTTTTTTTTGAATGTCAGTATCTTTCAAGTAGTTCTGTCTGGTGTTAACCAGACAAAATATATGACAAATGGTAACAGTGCTGTTACCAAAATGTCACACACTATTTGTTTATTGGGAGATTCGGTCTTATTACCTTTTGTTTCTATTCTATAATCCAAATTATGTACCCCTAATCATTACTCCTTCAATATTTAACACTTGGACTCAGGTCTACATCAGCCAATGTTGATCCAGATGCTGCGGTGCTGACTTCCCCGCAGACTTCCATCCAAATGCCAACAGTCTCCATCCAGGATCCATCTGTCCCTCAGCCCATTCCTTGTCCCCTTGTGTCCACCATTCCTATCGGGGTGAGTATAGCACTGCTATGCTGTTCTGCACAACTTGTCTTCAATACCTCTCATTAGTTTCACACTCACGGACAAAATTTAAGGAAGTGGAAGGGAGGGGTGTTAAATTAAAGATTATGGTAACAGTATATTATGGGATGTAATAAAAGGATTAGAGGCTTCCCAGCTTATCAAGTAGCAATAGCTGAAACTCCACAACAACCAGGAACTGAATGTAACTACATTATACTCTATTTAATATCAAGTTAGGGAGAAAGAAAAAATTTTTCCTGATGTCTACACTCATGAACAAAACTTGAGGAAGTAGAAAGTCTTTGATGTTGCTCGTCATCTATTTTTTTTTTTTTAGAAGACAGAAGCAATTTGGTTCACAGTTATCTCGTGTATCTTCAAGAAAGTTCACTGTAATATCTTTCAGAGTTATTGTCTGAATCCTGATATACATGTTAAAAGGTAAAACTTCCTTAAGTTTTGTTCAGGAATGTAGGTCACTACTCAAGCTTTCTTCACCACTCCTGAAGGCTTTATTCTTATTGACAACTAAGAAATTTTACACAATATGGTGCAAATCCCCAGTAAATAAGGTATAGACGCATCTTGAGTATTTTTCAACATTTATTTAAATAATGTATCCTATAAAGAAGTGGAGGTGAGGAAGAGTATTTTATTTTTTGCTTATTCCTATAGTACACGTGGTACAGGCCATGATAATCATGGTGGGTACTTAGCGACTGCTTTTACTGTAAACGCACCACATGTCTACACATGTGAAAAGCAGTTCAACTTTGCACTTACAAATGTGCCAGAGCCCCATTTGGTTACTTGCACTCGCTGGTGGGGTTGGACTTTTGCAAGAATCGGGGGCCATTGGAGCATTTTTTTTTTTTTAAACAGAAAAAAGTGTCCAATGCGGGAATCGAACCCGGGTTGTAGTGGTCGAAACCAAACGGTTTTACCAGCTTTCCACCGACCCCCAGGAAGAGTATAAAGAGAGAAAGTTGTTTGGTCAGATTTAGGCCTAGTCAACTACATTGTCCTGTCCTCTTACTTAACGGTGCTCAAATTATGAGAAATCAGAGGTCACTGCCTTGTTCCACTTAGGAAAGAGTATAAAATCCCCTGGTATTCTGGGGGCAGAGTTTCCTTTCTGGTTCATGGGTTCTTGCTCCTGTGTGCCTCCCAGGTTAACATTCTGTATAAACATTGTGCAGTCCCAGGTTAACATTCTGTATAAACATTGTGTAGTCCCAGGTTAACATTCTGTATAAACATTGTGCAGTCCCAGGTTAACATTCTGTATAAACATTGTGTAGTCCCAGGTTAACATTCTGTATAAACATTGTGCAGTCCCAGGTTAACATTCTGTATAAACATTGTGTAGTCCCAGGTTAACATTCTGTATAAACATTGTGCAGTCCCAGGTGTATATTCAGTATAAACATTGTGTAGTCCCAGGTTAACATTCTGTATAAACATTGTGTAGTCCCAGGTTAACATTCTGTATAAACATTGTGTAGTCCCAGGTTAACATTCAGTATAAACATTGTGCAGTCCCAGGTTAACATTCTGTATAAACATTGTGTAGTCCCAGGTTAACATTCTGTATAAACATTGTGCAGTCCCAGGTTAACATTCTGTATAAACATTGTGTAGTCCCAGGTTAACATTCTGTATAAACATTGTGTAGTCCCAGGTTAACATTCTGTATAAACATTGTGTAGTCCCAGGTTAACATTCTGTATAAACATTGTGTAGTCCCAGGTTAACATTCTGTATAAACATTGTGCAGTCCCAGGTTAACATTCTGTATAAACATTGTGTAGTCCCAGGTTAACATTCTGTATAAACATTGTGTAGTCCCAGGTGTATATTCAGTATAAACATTGTGTAGTCCCAGGTTAACATTCTGTATAAACATTGTGTAGTCCCAGGTTAACATTCTGTATAAACATTGTGTAGTCCCAGGTTAACATTCTGTATAAACATTGTGCAGTCCCAGGTTAACATTCTGTATAAACATTGTGCAGTCCCAGGTTAACATTCTGTATAAACATTGTGCAGTCCCAGGTTAACATTCTGTATAAACATTGTGTAGTCCCAGGTTAACATTCTGTATAAACATTGTGTAGTCCCAGGTTAACATTCTGTATAAACATTGTGTAGTCCCAGGTTAACATTCTGTATAAACATTGTGTAGTCCCAGGTTAACATTCTGTATAAACATTGTGCAGTCCCAGGTTAACATTCTGTATAAACATTGTGCAGTCCCAGGTTAACATTCTGTATAAACATTGTGTAGTCCCAGGTTAACATTCTGTATAAACATTGTGTAGTCCCAGGTTAACATTCTGTATAAACATTGTGCAGTCCCAGGTTAACATTCTGTATAAACATTGTGTAGTCCCAGGTTAACATTCTGTATAAACATTGTGTAGTCCCAGGTTAACATTCTGTATAAACATTGTGCAGTCCCAGGTTAACATTCTGTATAAACATTGTGTAGTCCCAGGTTAACATTCTGTATAA